AAAAAGAACACAAACAACACAGGAAAGCAAACAAGGGGTATAAAACAGATGTAGATTTGATGAGGATGATAGTCGGACAATCCAACTTTTTTTTTTTTTTTTAAATTAGCACATGTCCACAGCACTTCCCCTCCAGTTTGTGATCCTGTGTGACCATTTTGTCTATAGTCGCGCACTGCAAGGTCATAGCAAGGATATCTGTTGATCTTCAAAAGCTATGCATTTAGATAAGTACCATATGTGGCTAATGTGAATACTTGGAAATAATTGCTCCTGAATGCGATACTTGAAGTGAGGGGAGTCTTCTTGGCATTTTCAGAGCCGGAAGCAAAATCCTCTTTACGTCCAACACGTGTTTGGAGAACCATGAGAGGCGTGTGGAAATTTAGTTAGCAATGTGCGGGGCGCAAACGACTGTCATACTTTCCACATTCCCCAAAATAGTGCAGGGCTATCATATACAGAGCCCTGCCTGCAAAGCTGTGAGGCGCCGTTCAATGCACTCTTTACCTGCAGACACAAAGCAAAGGGAAAGAGAAAAAAAAAGCAAAAGTCATGATAAAGCAGCCTATCATACTTGACTTTATTACCACAGGACCGATGAAACACTTTGAATTTATCTGCAAAGATTCCCACCAATGAGAGTATTAGCTCAAGGAACATTCCTGAATTAAATGGTGGTTCTTAGCTGCTGATGCTGAGTGGAGACATTTTCTGTTACTGTGATACGGTGATACTTACATTTGCTAACACTGATGATGTCATCCTGTCCAGTGAGCAGCAGAGACAGGCCCTCCATCAGTAAGAGAGCTTTGTGGTAGCGCAGGACTGATGCTTCCCCCTGGTGGAACATCTCATCCAGTGCAGCAGCCTGAACCTGAGAGGACAGAGTGCTCAGGTCAAAGGTTTGATCTTGTTTTGAGTAAAATATTATATTAAATAATATGTCAAATGCTAACCACACAAAAGGGGGGGGGCTGTTAAGCTTTTAATGTGGCAGAACAGTTAAGAGCTGACCGGAAAGCTGGGAGAGAAAGTAGGGGAAAGACAAGACAAGCCGGATTCAAACCCAGGCCTCTACAATAATATTACGGCATATGGGTTGCCTACTCAACCCTGGTGAGCCAAACAAGCACCTTGATAAAGATACTTTTAGATCTAAAGATTCTTTGGTCAATTTCCCCCCATGTTCTCCTCTATTTCTCAATTATCCGACTTTTCTTTCGGTTTACCATCTGCACAGTGTGGCTGAACAGCAGCCGTTCTGCTGTGATGGAGGTGATTTGGTCCATTAGGCGATGCTTCCGGGTAAAGAAATGCTCCAGACGGCTGTTGAGTGAGCGGCAGGATGCCACGCTGGACTTGTACAGCTCATTTAGTTTTCTCACAACTGTATATGGAG